GTTGTTTTGTGTAACCCAAGCGGAAGGAGTGGTTGGGTTCTGTACCCAACTCGAAGCCGGGTCTTTGTTTGCTTCCAAACAGGAGTTTATGTCCTGATTGATTACACTAATCGTTAGGTATCGTTTGTTTATTTCCCTGCGGGTAGGTTGTGGATTGTTTGTGTACTCCACGATATAGGTGTCATTTTGCTTGAGTCACGCGGACTGGTAGATGTAGGTTTTTTTTGTGTACCCTCACGTGTAGATGTGCGTTGTTTGTGCTACACTGTACATGTAGGTGTGCGCTTATTTGTGTACCCTGACGTGTAGATGTGCGCTTGTTTGTGTACCCCTGACGTGTAGGTAGAGTCGTTCACTCAGCACTTTGACTCCATGATGAACGATGAAATCCAAAGATTTGTTTCCTCTCTGAAGAGAATTTTCAGCAACAGACGAATCCCACTGTGCACAGCGCTGCACAAACCCCCTACACACACACACACACACACACACACACACACACACACACACACACACACACAGCAACATTAATAAACGAGCCAGATAACAGTTAAAAACATCGAACACAGGGGAACTAATGACATCATTGAGTACTTCCTTACAGCTCGGTGGGTAATTGAGGAACAGTAAAGAAACAACTGTCCTCTGAACCTTATAGCATGACAAGACGAGTGAGATGGAAAAAATAAATAAAGGAAGCTTCTTTTAAGACTTTTCATTTAAACAGAATGTATTTAATCATTGCTCCTTTGTTTGTTCCTGCCTGAAAGGGGGGCAGCAGTTGACCAGCGCGATGGTCCTGGAAACGTATCCGTCCTCGTTGTCTCCCAACATGCCGCTCTGCATGCCCTCGTGAAACATCTCCACTTTACGCTGGAAACTGAGAAAAAGACAGAAACAAGTGTCAGAATCCTGAGGAAACCTCAAAGAAATGGAAGAGTCAGCCGGTCACCTGAAGAGGAAGTCGGCCAGCCCGTTGAGGCTGCACTGGGCCACTCGGGAGCCCAAACTCTGGTTGATGGAGGCCGAACGCTCGAGATCCACCTGAAGCCTCTGAGACCAAACACTAGGGTTATTAATCAATTCATTCTTTTGTGCATCCACGGAATACAGAAATGATACGTCCATATACAAATATTAGTGTAGTACCTGTATCACTGTCGTGGCCAGAGTGATCTGGTACTCCTCGATGTGCAGCGTCTCCATCCAGCGTTTCTCCTCCTCGTCCAGCAGTTGGCTCAGCTCCGTGGTGACTTTAGCCTAAACAGGGAGCGGCCCAGGATTAAAACAAACGCACCTCCGCTTTAAAACCCAAGGTGCAGGAATCCCCAACGGACTCAACTCTTGGGAAAAAACAGAGACCTCTTTTTGCGATTGAAATACATTTTTAAAATATGTGTACTGTTCCGGGACGTAATTTGGGGGAGGACACAAAAACCCGTTTTGGTCCCCTGCTGTTTTTACCGTCCAGAAACAATGTCACGCTACGGTAAACAGAGACGCATCAAGCACTAGGACCAAGCGGACAAACGGCCGCTCAAGCTGAACCTGTTTCCCTTAGTTTAGACCCGCCCACAAGCTCCTCAATTGGCTGTTGCTCGTGTGATTGGCCGTCCCCGCTGTCCCTTCGTCAGGTTGTAACCGGTGTGCTAGTTGCCGAGGACTCGAGTCTCTGTCACTCTGCCACTGTAAGTTGTGCGTTTGTTTTGCCTGTCAGCTCGAAGGATTGTGTGACAATGTGCTTACTGGACATGTTCGCTGTCACAAGTAGCAAAGTGACTGTCAAAAACGTTGGTAGCGGCAGCTACCGCTAACTGCCAACGTTTCTTTTCCCACACAAGCTCCTAGCCTTGAAAGTAATAATAAATTAATACGCCTTGATAATAACGTTTGAATCGGTGTGTGTGTGTTAGAAATGAAATACAAACAAACAAACAAACAAATGCTTGCATAAGCGAACCATCACAGGCTGCAGTACATTATGTGAAGCTCTGCAGGAGAAAAGACCAGAGGGAACATTCCAACAGATCTGTGACGGTGCAGCAGAGCTGGTCACCTCACTAAATATCCGCAGGCCAGCGAACCGGCCGGCAGCTTGCGTTGATTACTTCAGAAGGGAGTTCTGACCACCTACAAGTCAAGCACAGACATCCTGAGCGTCATGCTGCCTGAAGTCAGGTCTTTTTGATCAGCTGGAGGTCCTTGTGAGGCTGCTGAAGCTGAGAGGAGTTTCAGTGCACCGAGGAGGTTAAAGACCCGACTGCATGAAGCAGAAACGCTTGAACAATGTGGCAGTTTGTCACATACACCAAGAAAGGATTGATGCCTTGGACGGACAGGAATTTATCTCAGCCAATGATCGAAGACAACATGTGTTTGGAAGCTGTGGATGAGTTGATTATGTTGACCCTGTGTTTTCTTTAATATAACTGTAAAAATTACAGTGGTTCACTCATTTCGAATAAAATTACTTTACTTACACTGAATTATGGATATTTTATTCAATTTCCACCTGTGATATTCCTGCCAGTTTGACCAGTTATGTAAATGAGGTCTGTTTACCATATATTCCAAAAGTAAGTGTGAAATAAATGGTACTGAGTTGGAGTGAAGTTGACTAACAAGGTTTTGCTACATGCTTTATAACCAGTTAAACCAAAAAGGGAACAGTAACGTTAAAAGTATCAATAGAAAACTAGAAGAACTACTAGAAAACACAGTGAAAAAGTTAGAGTTTTATGAAAAATACTTGTGTTCTGAAATCAAAATTCCGTGCCTGGTTTGGGCCCTAAAGAGTAAAAGATGACCTTAGGTCATCGTCTCACCCTGACTGAGTTGAGACAGTCCAGCTCCAGTCGGTCCACTGTCTCTGAGGGAAGCAGCGGACTCAGCTGGGATCTGCTGAAGGGACTTGTGATGCACACGGTCCCCAGGACGTCCCTTAAACGACACACACACACACAGATAACATACTGCACAGGAACCTTTTTAAAAACTACAGGAACCAGAAGCGAAATTTGCAATTGTGGGCTATACAAAATAAAATGAATTGAATTGAGGGAGTTTGTCTCAGAGAAAAAGCTACTTTTGAATCACTTCAATCAATCAATTAAAGAAAACCTGCGTTTCTGAAAATTACTTAAAGCTGCATTCTGTGTAGGGACCAGCAGGGGGCGACTCCTCTGCTCCCATAGACGTCTATGAGGAAATGACTCTACTTCTCTGCAGTGACCAGCAGGGGGCGACTCCTCTGCTCCCATAGACGTCTATGAGGAAATGACTCTACTTCTCTGTAGTGACCAGCAGGGGGCGACTCCTCTGCTCCCATAGACGTCTATGAGGAAATGACTCTACTTCTCTGTAGTGACCAGCAGGGGGCGACTCCTCTGCTCCCATAGACGTCTATGAGGAAATGACTCTACTTCTCTGTAGTGACCAGCAGGGGGCGACTCCTCTGCTCCCATAGACGTCTATGAGGAAATGACTCTACTTCTCTGTAGTGACCAGCAGGGGGCGACTCCTCTGCTCCCATAGACGTCTATGAGGAAATGACTCTACTTCTCTGTAGTGACCAGCAGGGGGCGACTCCTCTGCTCCCATAGACGTCTATGAGGAAATGACTCTACTTCTCTGTAGTGACCAGCAGGGGGCGACTCCTCTGCTCCCATAGACGTCTATGAGGAAATGACTCTACTTCTCTGTAGTGACCAGCAGGGGGCGACTCCTCTGCTCCCGTAGACGTCTATGAGGAAATGACTCTACTTCTCTGTAGTGACCAGCAGGGGGCGACTCCTCTGCTCCCATAGACGTCTATGAGGAAATGACTCTACTTCTCTGTAGTGACCAGCAGGGGGCGACTCCTCTGCTCCCATAGACGTCTATGAGGAAATGACTCTACTTCTCTCTGGATTTATTCCCTCAGTAAACATTGTAAACATGAGTTTATGGTCTCAGTCTCTAGTTTCAAGTCTTCTTCAATGCAGCACGATGTTCATTTAGTGAATGATGTCAGACAGACCATAAGGCAGGGGATTCTTTAGGGCGGGGCTACATGCTGATTGACAGGTCTCTATTAGAGACGTATTTGTATTGCCTTTCTTTACTTTTCTGTAATACCGTTAATTAACGAAACCTATAAAACATCCACTTTTCAATCTTCTTATATTCATGTCATCATGATAAATAAAAGCTGTAGCTCATGTTGGTGATGTAATGAACGCATGAAGCAGACTCAATGAAGCTGCACGTTGTGTTGTACGGGCGCAGACCCTGGATCAGTGTACCTGGCGTAGATGTTGTGCAGCCAGTCCAGCAGTGAGTAGATGTCGCTGATCTCAAGGGTCTTCTCGGTGATGGCCTCCAGTCGCCTAGCAACCGCCTGGTGGTAGCTCTGCACGTACACCTGGGAACGGGGCGGGGGAAGGTCAAAGGTTAAAGTGCACCCCCGTCGTCAAGAGATGTCCCCCCCCCCTCCCCCTGAGGCCCAGCCTCACCTGGAAGGGCTGGTACTCGTCGGGGTAGATGGAGACCACGTTCCTCTTGGCGGCGCCCAGGTCCTCCACCACACGGACCCGGAGGCGGTCCAAGTAACCCACAAGCTCCCCGGCGGTGAACTCGGCCTTCTGGGGCAGGGAGCCGTTGGCCGCCTCCTCCACCGCCTCCTTCCAGCGCTGCCGCAGACGGCGTGGCCTGGGGCCTGCAGGGGCCCGGTCTTTGTCCACCTGCTCCTCCTGCTGGAGCACCTGGAGGGAGGGAGAGGACAGGTGAGCTGAGAACCTTGAGACCATCTGAAGTGTGTAGGCACAAGTGTGTCACAAAATGATGCTCACATTGTCATCTTTACGATGGTCCCTGAACACATCATTTGGGACAAAATATTGTATATTTCTTCATGTCTCATTTAAAATCTCTCCACAAACAGAAGTTTGTTTTAACAAGATTCTGTAAAAAACATTCATGAGGCCCGGAGTGAAACTATGAGGTCCTGATTGATTCATCTGAGACCAACAGTCACGTGACCATAAACCAGAGAAACACAGGAGAGGACGTGTTCCAGTTCTCTCTGCCTTCTAGTCTAGTTTAGTCTCTACTCGACTCATCATTGTTCTGTCCCATATAAACAAAGGACTCTTATTTTGAAGGCGAAAAAAGAGGCCAGAGTGACAAAAAAACAACACTTAGGCGACTCTGCCTCCCATGGAGGCAACAGCGCTTTAACTGTGGTGTAAATATCTCTGGTGCGTCCTCACCTGCACCACCAGGCCCAGGTTGGGCCCGGCGGTCGGGAGGCGCAGGGACTCCCTGACGACGGCCCAGAGCTCCTTCTGCAGCTCCTCGTACAGCAGCTCCACGTCTTTGGCCTTCCGCCGCCTGCCGTCCTTCATGCCTGCCGCGGCGGCGTCCTCCGGCGCTGGCGAGGTGGCGCGCTCGGCCGAGGAGGACTCGTTGCACTCCTCCTCCAGCTCCAGGATGTGAGTGTCGGCCAACAGGAGGTCTCGCTTCTTCACCAGCTGCAGGATTTCCAGGACTGGAGAAAGGACGAGAAGCAACAGAACTCTGGTTTACCTCGTGAAGAACCAACTTAAAGGAGGGTTTCTCAAACTGTGGGATGCGACCCTCTAGGGGGTCCCAGTGGTGTCACAGGTGGGTCGCATGGGGAGATTCTGAATTATTTTATTTCAATAACTATATTGAGTTGTTACAAAAGTAAAAGTGCTGCCTCCTTCAAAAGAAAATACGGATCCAAACTCAACATGGAGCATCAATTGAGAGGCTTTTCTGAAGGCCTCGCGGCCCAGGACGGGGGCAGTGCAGTTTGCTGAGGTTTGTCTGAGACAAATGGAACTTATATCAGCGACCTCAGCGCCGTCCTGGCGAGCTCCTCAGCTTGTTAGCGTGTTGTTTTGCTGAGAAATGTTACAAATGCATCACCGCGTGCACACATCTTATTTTATAACTTGTTCAAACGGTTTGCTGCAGATTGTATCCAAGACTCTAATGTTTCGAACAGTGTGACGCAGTCATATAATCACTCGTTCACCATATTCCTGTTGTGAAGAAGGTGCTGGTGGGTGAGTCGTCCCGGGGGACCAGCAGCCCACGTGAGGACCCATGTTCCCATCATGTCACAGGAAGCGTGTACTTTTACTTACTTTACTCTGTGATATTAGTTAGTGTAAAAGGTAATTTAACAGTGTGTTATTAAGTACTCGTTCTTCTTAAGTGTTACCAGTAATTCCACAGTGTGGTGTTATTAATTATTATCTGCTGAATCTCATGGTGACAACATGAACTCAATGAATAAAGTTCATTGAGTCAAACCACAAACAAATGTTGTACAATCACACAGGAAATGTGACTCAGTTATTCATCACATCATAATACAGCAGCAGGCAGATAGTACACACTGTCACTGCAGGAAGTACACAAACACACACTCACACACACACAAACACACGTTAGGACGGAAAGTGGTCACGGAGCTTCCCCGGGGCTACTCTTTCAAAGTAAGAGCCCACACATGGCATTTAATGCTGTGTTATTGGTCGATATGTGAGAACGTGAGGCCTCCAGATGTGGCACGTTTATCCAGGAAGAGAAGTACACACACACACACACACACACACACACACACACACTAACGCCCAGAGGAAGATCTCCTCTATAAACACAACAATGTGAGCGGAACCTCTCTGCATTTCAGTCCTTGATGTTCCTGGTTTGGTTCCTAAGGGTCTCAGAAGTTGGAGCTCAGAAGTCGGAGGTCAAGGTGTGCAGACGTGTTCTACTGTGAAATATTCTTTGACGAACGCCGGTGAAGCGGGAAATGTACAGACACACACACACCATGTGACTCTCCACACAGAAACACAGCTCTTATTGTTCAGCTTCAGCCTTCAGAGGAAATCTCTTCCAGATGGATGGATGAAGCCCCGCCCACTTTCACCCTCTTCCCCTTTCCACCAAATAACCCCGTAGCTCACATGTTGGGACTCGCTCTGGGTTTGGTCTCCAGCTCCTCAGTCTCTTCAGATAAAAAAACTCCAACCCGCTTGTTGGTTGGTGGATGATGGTTGTCGGTTGATGCTTGTTGTTTGGTGGTTGATGGTTAATGCTTGTTGGTTGTGGATGATGGTTGTTGGTTGATGCTTGTTGGTTGTGGATGATGGTTGTTGGTTGATGCTTGTTGGTTGGTGGCTGATGGTTGATGCTTGTTGGTTGGTGGATGATGGTTGTTGGTTGATGGTTGTTGTTTGATGCTTGTTGGTTGGTGGATGATGCTTGTTGGTTGGTGGTTGATGGTTAATGCTTGTTGGTTGGTGGATGATGGTTGTCGGTTGATGCTTGTTGTTTGGTGGTTGTCGGTTGATGCTTGTTGGTTGGTGGATGATGCTTGTTGGTTGGTGGTTGATGGTTAATGCTTGTTGGTTGGTGGCTGATGGTTAATGCTTGTTGGTTGGTGGATGATGGTTGTTGGTTGATGCTTGTTGGTTGGTGGATGATGCTTGTCGGTTGATGCTTGTTGGTTGGTGGATGATGCTTGTTGATGGCAGGTGGGCGATTAATGTGCAGTGGTTGTGTCTCCAAGGAGATTGGAGTGAGATTAGTAAGAAGTGCCTTTTGTGTTTTTCCCCCCTCTACAGGGTGCAGCACGATGCAGCGGAGGCGCTATTGATTGCGTAACTTGTCATTTGTCCTGCACCAGGCTGATTCATTTTAGAAAAGAGGACATGGAGCAGAAACGGCAGGGTTTGTTTAGAAGCTCTATTCAATGTAGCCTTAACTTTTCTCTGAAAGACGAATATTAAATCACATTGTATTACCTAATATATTTTTGCCATATTTGAAGTCTAAAATACGGATATATATATGAATAGTTATACATTGTGTTGTAAAAAACAAATGTAACCATAGAAACTAATAAAAATGAAGATTGAAATGTCTTCATGTAATTTATCTGACTTGAGATAACAATGGCACTAATACAATTCAATGGATCGACCACACTCAACTTCTGGTCATCCTCAAACTATGTAATTCTAGATTTTTAATTTTTTTAGGGCCTCTGTTATGGAGAAATATTCAAATACAATTTTAGAAAAGTTGGAAATAAATAATTTATATTGCATGCAAACATCTACTCGGTTGTTGCCCCAAACTGAATGGGATTAGCATCAAGGGTAATTATGACCATTGCCAAGAGTGTGGGTGAAACAGTTATGTTTG